GGAAAGAAGGGCTCTGAGCTTTCGAGCTCCCCTCCAAGCTGCTGCTTTCTGCAAGTCATCCGAACTCTTGGTGCCCAGACTCTTCTCTATATTTATTTCTTACCCACATTTCCCTTTGTCTTTCTCTTTTGTCTTTCTTGCTATCTTGTCAGCTTCTGTTCCATTAGCCAACTAACCTTGAAGAACTCAGCAAATCCTTTATAGTGCTGGATTCCCAGCCATGTAAATATTACTTTGCTTTGTCAGATGTGAGGGAAAATATTAGGAAAGGAAGGAGCACTTTAAAAATAACCATTAAAAGGTCCTAATTTAGAGAAACGTTTTCCTTGTATCTCTTAATTACAAATCTTACAAGGAAAAGGATTGCAGTAACAGGATGAAATTATCACAGTTTTCTTTCCTATATTATCAGTGACTTAGAATCACACAAGTAAGACTTGCATGATGCCTAACTGAAGCAACAAATCACAGGTTATGGTGCTGATGAAAAAGCATAATGTAAACCAATTTTTCTACTTGATAAAAGCCTCTAAAGGAACAATGTGAAGTTGTAAAGCATATAATTATCCCCCACACCACACTCAGACTCTTCTCACATAGCACATTTAGGGTTTTCAGGGATGAGCACGTAAGAAGTCAATTTCTCCTAAGATCTTCCTGGATAACCCTCTCCTGGAGAGTCTGTTATTTTGACACTAACTAAAAAAAAACCAAACCAAAAAAACCCTTGCTAAACTACTCACTTAAGAATTCTTTACACACACTAAAAGAATTATCCTCACCAAAACCAGATACTAGGTGCCACTAGGTTTGTCTGCCAAGATATATATAGCCCTTTATCTAACTCCAAAGTAAGTTGTGGTATGTGCATAAGGATGAATGCTGGAAAAGGTAAAAATATAGTTACACCAGTTCATCCTCCCCATTTCCAGTAGTCTGTGATGGTGGAGTCTTACACAAAATGCAAATAATGAAAGTTTTAGAGGGAACCATCATTGTTATTACTATTTAATTTATATGCTAAGAATAACCACTTTTCAGGTGATCCTTGATATTTTGTGTTGCTATACAGAACTGTTCAGATACAAAATGAATAGAAGCCCGTACTCTGCAGCCAGAATAGCTACATAATTTACATCCAAAACTTTGGAATTTTGTTCTTTCTCATTTTGTATAGCATCAGTTACTTTAGAGGCAAAGAACATCTAGTATCTATACAAAGGCTAAACTAAATACATTTTGAATCATTGCACAGTTTAAATGTTTTCATTATAAGTACTTTGAAAGTGATTGCAATAAATGAGAAGGAAACATATGTTGCTTTCTGAATTAAAATGTCATCATGGCTGACACATTGTAGATGTGACTACAGCAGTCAGAGCCAGAATTAGTAAGCCCTTCCTGTGTAGCTGCTCACAGAAGAGATACTATCCTACTTTCACCAGTTGATGAGAATCAACTTAGGAATCACTAATTGGAATATTTACAAAGAAGGAGGGAAACAGTACAATAAATAAGCAGCTCTGTAGAACATAGAGTAGCAGCAGTTAATTTAATGTTTAATGGCAAAAAAAAAATCAGATCTAGCCACGAAAGATATTTGACGTGTGTTAAGATGATGAACAAAAGACAGATGTTGCCTAATGCTGAAGATCCTGTTCACTTAATAGGTTTTGACCTGCATGTGACACAGTGACTTGTGTTTCTATGCTGTAGCTTTTAAGTGTACTTCAGTTTTTTCATATGGCATCTCTTAACAGGAACATGGTACACTTTTCTCATCTTGCTCGCTCTTCCATTGAGACATTCAAAACTTTCTTTTAGACATGACACTTGCTATCTGGAAAACTAATTGTAGGTGAAGCCTCTAAATGAAGAATAAATTCTCACAATAATTACAATTTGGCCGTGTATTTTCTCTCCTAGTTGGACCTGTTAATTTTAAATAATAATCTATTCTTTTTCTTTCTTTTGTACAGAAGTATTCACTAGCAGAGACAGTCTTCCACATTATATTTGCTTTACTGCATACCACCATTAAGTGTTCATATCCAGCCCTCTTTTTCTTGATTCTTACTTTTTTTACCAGTGCAACATTATCACTGGAGAGATACATATAAATAAAGCAGGTAATGTATCAACATGAATATGAAATTGTCAATTATTTCAGTACTCTGAACAAAATAAGGGACTACCCCATGCTCCTTCCTGACATATAACTTTGAGTGAAATTCATTTTGCTTGATTCTGACCACTCAAAACTTATGTGTATAGTCCAGCCTAGACAATTATATTCTCTCTGGAGTTAGCAGGAAGAGAAAGTAGGCTTCACACTGTAACTGGGCCCACCTATCTGGCTGAGAACAAGATAAAATATTTTCCTTTATTAACCAGAAAGTGAACTTATATGCTGTGCTTAATTTTAGAAGGCAAAACTCAAGTAAGGTTAGATGGGTATCCCCCAGCCTTGTCCATTGTGCATGTGTTTACCTAACTCTAGAAAGGAACCTATATCTGAACAGTTGTGAGACACAGATATAGAAGGATGTGAAGAATAACCAAAAAACACTTAAAAGTGTAAGTAGGGAAAATGTACTGAGCAAAACAGGCCAGTTGTGGACAACAGGATGATTCAGTGCACAGTTGTGACAACTGTTAATAGAAATTGTCTTAAAAAATTTATTCTCAAAAGTTAAAAAAGAGAAATTAAGGATGTGAAGGCCAAGGTATCAAACAGGATTACCTTGTGTGCTTATTGCTAACATGTTAGCTTAAGGTATAATTATACTGGTCCAAGTGTTGTTGGGATTCCCTATTTGGCTGATTCCCAGAAAATTAAATTGGAGAAGAATTATTACCCTAGACTTGAAAAAATACCTCTCTCTCTTGTCATGGTCTGCGTTAAACAGCAAGTGAACCCCAGAGGTTAACTGTCCTTTGCAAAGTAATTAGACACAATTAAAGGGCAAGACGTACAGAAACATGGACCCATAAAGAATGACGGGAACATGTTCATAACGCAAACAGTTAATGCAAATCACTGTAAACTACCTTACCTTTACTACCAATAAGATGATTTTAAAATCTTTAACATGCATAGGCTTTACTGTGGGCTGATGCTGAAGTTTGCAAAGCTACTAATGCTACTGCCTTACCAAGAAGAACCTTTACTGTTCCTTCAAGAAATGTGTTTCATCTACTTTGTATTATAAAGGGCTTATAAATTACTGTTCTCTTTATATTTATTGCATACGGTTTGCCTAAATGTGCAATATATGACTCTAGCAAACAAAACTGAGACAAGGGTTCCTAAAACCTTGCAGATCCTGCTG